GCGGCGCCCGGGCCGCGCCGGGCCCGGCGGGACGGCGCCGCGGCCGCCTCCTCACTCACAGTAGTACGCCACCACGGGCTCGCGCTTGTCCAGCTCCTGCGCGGTCCGCAGATGGTGCTGGATGCTCTTGAGCTGCGGCGGCAGCGGGGGCAGCGCCGAGGCCGCCATGGCGCGGGCGGCGGCGGCAGCGGCGGCGCACGGCTCTGGCTCTCGGGGCCGGCGCGCGCCGCTTCCGCTTCCGGCTTGGGCGCCGCGGGCGGGCGGCAGGGCGCGGGGAGCGCCCCCTGCTGGCCAGGAGGGGGCTGTCCTTCCGTCTGTCCATCCATCCATCCGTCCGTCTGTCAATGGGGACCTACAGCCTCGAACGCCACCTTCGTGGTCCCTTAGTGCTTGAAACGCGTCCCACAGTAGCTGTGAAGAAGGGCTGGAGACTTGGGGTGGTCGGGGCTACTCCCTGGCCCAGCGGTGGAACGGCAGCCTGGCCCCGGCTGCCCAGGGCTGAGCAGTGATGCCCTCGCCATTCCTTCTGCCTCCCTTCCTTTGGCAGCCCTGCCCAAAGAGCCGTGCAGGGCTGGCATGTGGAGGTACACCTGCAAGTGAAACCCCTTCCTTCTCAGACTGAAACTTCTTCTCCTTAGGCTGTGCCAAGGCTTGCCAATGTCCGTGAGGCCCTTGGGGCCTGAACTGTGCCTTTGCTTCTGGGACTCTGCCTTTCATCCCCAAAAACTCGGATTAGTTACCTGGTACACAACAAGCCAATAAATACACACTGAAACAGACATTGATTATTCAATGTTGTGTGAGCCCGGGTGTTACGGGGGTTTTCCATGAATCAAGCACCCCAACTATCAACACTTTACACATTTTAGCAAACAAAGGCTAAAGGTTACCTAGTTCTCTTAGTAATTAGTTTTCTGACTTCTGTTAGTTAACGATTCTCTTGCTTCATATGCTAATTAGTGAGCATGTTTAGTCTGTCTCATTTGAGTCACTGGGTTTCTTGGGTCACTGGTCCACGAGAAGGTGCTCAGGATCTCCCCCTGCCAGAACTACCTTTAACCCAGTCTGAGCTGATTGCAGCGCAGTTGCTGAGTTGCCTTATTGGTTTCTTCTTTATTTTGTGAGTTCTGCCAAATGGCCCTGTGGCCTGTAAATTTTGAATTCAGTGGACATCCTTCTTCCCAAACTTTGTTAACCTCCCCCAGGGTCTGAGATCGATGAAGAATGTCAAGCTCTAAACCTGGCAAACAATGTAAACCTGGTCAACAAGGCAATTCTACTACCAACTGATTTATTTTTCTAACACTTGGACATCACTTAGAGCTTGCTTGTTCGCTGTTGTCTTTCATGGATCAAATCTCCCTTGTTGTTGATTAAGCTTGAAAGTATTCAAAGATTAAACATCAAAGGAAATCCTTTCTTAAGAAAATTTTACATATTCCACATTTTACAATATTAGCATGGCCTGGTTAATAGGACTGGGCTGCTTCCTGGTGGCTGTCAAAAAGTCTGTCAGCCCTGGAACATGCATCTTGTAGGATCACCACTTCCCAGATAACTTTTTCTCAGAGGAACTGCCAAGGATTTCTGGTTTTGCAAAGAGGGGATAAGAAGAGCTAAAGAAATGTGAACTGTTGAAGCAAAATGGTTTCAAATGGTTCAAGTCATTGCAATGTAAATTATATTAGTGTCTATTACCTGATTCTGATGGCATGGTTAAAACTATTTTAAAATTTCTTTTAGGTAGGCCTTTTGCCAAACTTCTTCTTGATCTCAGAGTGTCTGTTTGTATAGGAAGAGAATGACAGTGCTCCAGGGCACGAAGAAAGGTGTGTGTTGGAGGGAGGCACAGGGTAGGAGAAGTGGCTGCATTGTCTCACTGCTGATGTGGGAGTGTGCCAAAAGTGGAACAGCGGGGAAATGATGTCTGAACAGAAGAGAGGAATCCGTGAAAGGAGCAGAACAAGGAGTGGTTACAGGACTGGGATGCTGCAGTGCTATACTAGAAGCTGGCTGGCCCAGAGCAGCTATACGCTTGATGTAAATGCAGTCACGTCACAATTACAGCGCTTTGTTAAGTGAGAACTAAAATGGTCATGATACCTGACTAGAGACAAAACTGACTGCAAACACAGAGCTGAGGATTCCTTTGGGTGCTATCTGTGAAAATTAGGTGGCTAGAGTATGGTGCAAAACAATGAAAACGTCAAAGAAGCACTTGACTTTTTCACTGAGCACAGTGTGAACCTGATGTAAGCAACAAAAATGCTTCCTCAGTGTTCTGGGAGATAGGACTTCATGTTCGCTGTGTAAAGAAATAGAATTGAATCAAAGAATCCCCAAGTATATTATATCATTCCTTTCTTATTGGCAAAAAAGAAAAGCCTTCATGATAATCTCAAATACTTGCTAAGCATTTGAGCAAAATTCAGCTCAATGCTGAGAAATGCATGAAGGCATATCAATCTCAGAGGGAGTGAGGGTGGAAGGAAGCTGATAGAAAACAATGTAAATGAGGATGAAAGTGGTGGGAGTTTAGAAGACTAAGCAAAAGAAAAGTTTAGAAGACACCCGAGAATACAATGAGTTCCAGGAAAACAAATGGCAAATACAGGAAAGAGAAGTGTTGACATCCATGGGGAAATTATTTCTTTACATGGACATAATATCTCCATCAATGTGTTCCAGAAACTAATGGCAGAATCTGGCACAGAAAAACATTATCACTAAAAGGTAATAATGCACTTTTTTTTTTCCAAATGAAAGACTGAGGAATTTGACAATATTAATTGCACAGGAAATGCAGGGAAAAAAAAAGTTGGTGGTGTACCTGATTTGGAAGAAGGAAAAATTTTTAATATGTTCCAGAATTTGACCACAAAGACAAAGTGCTGCAGGGATCCTCAGGCAGTCCCATGACAGTACTTGTTCTTCAAGGCTGTTGATGGTAACAAGAACTTAAAGAAGTCCTGAAGGCTTGGAGGTTTTGGCACTCATGTGACCCTTCTGAAGTGTTTGGAAATTTACAGAAGAACAGCAAGCAATGTCATATTAAGCACCAGGGAAAATACTTACAAGGTTGTGATTACTTTATTCTTATACAAATAACTGATGGAGTGGGATTTGTGTACCTTTGGTAACAACTGTACCTAGCACATGAAACTAAATTATTTTTCTTAGTAGTTCTATATACTATATGTTTTTATAAATGATTTGGTTTTTTACCTGACATTACAAGTTTCAATTGGAAAGAATAATTCCAGATGGATATTGACATATACAGTGAAAAATTAAACATATATCAACCAAAGAACATGGCCTATTATGCAAACAAGAAGTTAGCACAGTGATTTTTGTTTCACTTGCAATGCTTGCAGATATTAAATAACTAGTTTAATATTGCATAAATCTGATAACCTTGACTGGACATTTATTTAAGATGATATATAACTTATTTCAAGAGGGAACAAATAATATTAATGCTTTAATATAGTGAATTTATTGAAATATATTGCCTTGTTCTTGATCAGCACGTTAAAAAAATCACACATCTAGTTGTAGCGCACTTTTTTTAAACGGCACAGATTCAATCAAATCCAAGACACCTAAAACTTCCTATTCCATTTACTTAGCAAGTTTACTTTTGTGGGTGAGAATTACAAGCCTATGATAATTCAACTGTGTTTGGGACTTATTAACTAACACTTGTGGTAAAAGATTCAGTAAGATTTTTCCAGAATTTCCTAAATATTTCTGAAACGACCCTAATTCTGTTATCAGGATCTCAGCTTTTTGTTTGAAAAACAAATGGAAAATGGCTGATGTTATTATTGCTATTTGTAGATATTTTATACAGGAAACTACCTCCTCCTTTCTTTCTGATTCTTAAATCTGTTTTATTTCCTTTATCTCACTTCAGCACAAGGAGATCACTTCTAAATTTAATATGTTTATTAGCCCTTAAGAAGCTGTTGCACACAAAAACATCTGATGCCTATATAAAGTTTGAGACCTAACCTAACCAAATGCATTTACTGCATAGAATAATTTTAATATGCAAAGTTCTTTTTTCACTGTTATTCTAGCAGCTTTAGTCAGAGCAAAAAAAAGTTAGATGTGACACAAACAGCAGAAAATTCTGTGGGCCCAATTCTGCAGTCTCACACAAGCAAAACACATTGAAATCAAATCATGATTGGGCCTAGGAAAGGCTTTTCTCGAAGATTTCATTTTTACACTTTTAAGCCTCTTATGCAACATTGTTAAAAAGCACTTTTCCTCCTTCAAAATGTGATCATACTAAATCGGTAAAAATCTTTTACACGGTAAGCCAAAACATAATGAGGTGTTGCTTGCAGCACAAAGAATACCATGCTACTCTTTCACTTTTAAAAGGAGATTCTGACCCAGCAGGTGACAGTAGCTGAGCCTCTGCAAAGTAAGCTGGTATCCATGGATATGTTGCCACCACAGCCTAACCAGGAACATCTGCCCCTGGGGGCTGAAATGCAGGTTGCATCTCAGGACTTCTTGGGAAGATGCTCGAATGCTTTCTGGTGCCCAGAGAGTAACTAATTGCGAATTGTTCAATTCTCAAGCGATAAGAAAATGTAAGAAATTTGCAATAATTTTCCCTGGAAGAGCAATGACCTTATTAACTCCGATGGTTTGTGTTCAGAGCTGTGAATAGAAGTATGTTTATAAATAACCTTCTCCTCACACACAGGCACTCATCTGGAGGTAGAACTATCATAGGTTTCAGGTCATGAAAATATATTGCTCTTGGAGATCTTAATGCCTTTGACCTTAACATTGGAAAGAAAGATTATTCTCACAGTGTGCAAGTTTTTAGATGAGGAGTTTATGTCAAGTGACTATTCTGCCTCAATAATCATCAGTGTGGTTCTCTTCTGCAGCACTGCATAGAGGACAGGAGATGTTTTCCTGCTGTGGTTTGAAATCATTGTTACAAAACTGCAGGTGGACAGAGCAGTGAGTGCGAGTGGTTGACATCACTGAGTTTTTAAGAAACCTAGCCTTCTACATGAGATCTCAAAAATTTCAGCAACACACAAGATCACTGTAATCACAGTAAATGTGTACATTGCAATAAGAAAGATTGTCTTTTCAAAGTGCTCTGGCACCATGCACCGGGTAATGTTAAACTTTTTTTCAAGTGCTCCTGCATCACACATGTAGATTGCATTCACTTTGAAACCAAAGAGCTGAATCTGAAGCCAAAAAGCCACAACTTCAAGGACAATCCTCAAGAAAACAGAGAAGATATAAAAACCAGTGTAGGATGACTTTTGGAGAATATCTTCCTGGTTGATGCTTTTACAAGCAGCATAAAGGTGAAAAAAGGCTCCAGGTACCAGTACAATCACCAGCTGTAATGCCCAGAATACCTAAAATGTAGCAGAAATGTAGCTGTCAAATCATTTACAACTGCTTTGGAACAGCTAAAACACATGTATATTGGAACATTTTGTAAGTCTGTTTTTAATATATATCAAATAAATGTATAAAAACGTAGATGACAATAAAGGTGAAAAGCAGTTATGTTTTGATTTGAAAAATTTAGTTGAAACAGGATTATTTTGAAGGACAGGAAGCACAGCTCCATATTTAATCACAGCTAAAGGGATATGAAAAGGAAAATATTAATGAAAAAAGTTAGTTATAATTAGCCTAGTCAGTTAGTACTTATATGGAACAATCATGTTTTAATTTTTGCACTTTACTTTCTTTACATTGGATTTTTACCGTGAAAAAATAATAGAAAAAGATAATTACCTGAGGAGTTATAGGTCTGAACTGGTTGTAACAGAAAAGATTAACTTCTCTCTTGTCTGGGTCACAGCTGAAATGCAAGGCCTCATTTCCATAAACAGCAAAGCCCAAAACACCAAGGAAAAACATTCGAATTGAGCCAAAAAAAAGAGTGTGGAATTGTCCAATTACTGTTGGCGGCCTGAGCTGCAAATGAGAGGGTTCATTCAACATAAAAAACAAAAAATTAACAGTGTTATTGTTGGAGGTCTACTTGCTCTTTTTCATTTTCCAAAGTATTTATTTTATTCTACTTGTTTTAAAGGAGACAGTTTGCCTATGAAGGGTGCAGTAGCTCGCTAACAAAATAATGTCTTACAACACTTTATTGTTCCTACTAACTTTATATAAAGGTTAATTTGTCTAGCACTTGCCAGTTCATTTGTTTCACTGCCTTTATCTGTATTCCGCTACTGCAGAAGGCGCCAGACGGAGCTGAGCGCTTCGACCCAAAGTCTATTCGTTTTGCTGTTGTACTGATTCATTCACATGATGTCAGGTGATGGCAAAGCACGGACGGCCGTGCCACAATCAAACCCAACCATGCTTAGAATCTTACTTATTCCCGCAAATTAAAGTCCAGCTTGCCCAAAGGGGCAACTGTAGCCCGGCCCCCGCGCAGGTTGGGGCCGGAACCCCTGGCTGCGGTCGGGGCCAGGGGGGCGCGCCCCGCGTACTCACACATCCCTCCGAGAAGCTCCGGATGTAGTTGGGGGACATGGCCGGGGAAGGTGCCCTGTGTGGGTGGAGGCGGCCAGAGCCGGAGCCCGCCCTGGCCCCGACCCCGACCCCGGCCCCGGATCGCTCCGCCCTTTGTCCCCGGGCGGGCCCCCCGGGAGGGCCGGCAGCGGCCGCAGCAAAAGCGGGGCCGGCCGGCGCCCGCCGATAATCCCCGGGCAGCACCGTCAGCAGCGCCCGCCGCCGCCGCCGGCTGCGCACCTGCCCCTG